AATACTCAGACCGCACTGCAGGGTTCCGCGCGCTGCTATCGTGTACGATGCCATTGTGGAGAATGCCCGGCAACCTGGATTGTGGTTTAATACCATTATCGTGAGTAACTGTTCTCCTTTTAAGACGTGCAATGCGGGACATCTTGGTGGCGTGTCACAGTCGCAAGAGGAAGAGGGTTGGAAAGCGGTTGATGCTGCTGATTCAACACACAGAAGCAGCCGCCACGCGGCGCTTAGCAGAAGTCCACGAGAGAGACGCGACACCAGACCAGATTGCGTCAACGGCACCTTTCGTGGAGAATGGCTTTGCATGTGTGAAGAATTAGCCCTGGGATGAAAGCTCAGCACAGACACTGCCCCACTGTAAACTAACACACCATCACCACGCCGGAGCATAATAGTCATTGGGAGAGAGGGTGGGCGGTCGTTGCCCGAAAGTGGTCGCGGAAAAAGCAAGCGGCAGCTCAAGGCTTCGAGCAGAGACAAGGGTGCCCGGCATGCGCGCACAACAATGAAAGCCCGACGGCTGCCGCTGTTTTGCGCGGTGCTGCCATTGGAGCTGGTGGGGGTGTATCCCCGCTTTACGCCCCTGGTGCGGGTGTGCTCGAGGAGACCGACCGAGAGAGAGAGAGAGAGAGAGAGAGAGAGATGAAAGGAGCAGCAGTCGCACAGACCTTCCAGACCTTACCTCTCGAACAACAAACATGCTGTTGTCGTATTTTGGGTGCGGAGTTATCATGCCCGTACGCACCGTACCCAGTCAGCCCGCGTGCCAACGGGGCAGCAGGCAGCGAGGCGGGATTCGCAGATCCCCGACCCGTCACCGGCAGCGCGCAGGGTCACCCTCTCACCGCACGCGAGTGCCCTTGTCAACGGTCGCAGTCACGACACCTGTCTTGAACTCTTCAAAAATTTACTTCCCGCAGCGGGCCGAAGAGCAGACTTTCGTTGCACACACACGACACCCTGGCTTGACCATTTCTTTGCTTAAAAGCGAGTCTGCAACCACATCCGTGTGCACAGGCAAACGCCCCGACAGGTGCCTAGGATAACGGCAACAAAAGACACAGCTTCTCGCTTGGTGCAGTTGGCGTGTAGCCGGCAGGCATGTGCACCAATCGTGGTTACAACTAATGGGAAGAGAAAACTGACCTGATTGGAGAGGGGTGGAGATCTCTGTGAAACACACACGCACAGACCCGCAAGGTGGCACGCTCCCAGACCCAGATCCGTGGTGCCGAAGAGGGTGTTGCGCAGGCGAAGCTTGTTGCACCGTCGCGCTCTCGGCAGGGGGACGCACTGGAAGGTGACAGCGGCGTACCCTCGCCTTCTAATCCTCGTACCCTTACTAGCCTCCACAACTAAGGAACACGGAGACACCTTGCTCCTTGTACCCCTCAAATTACTGCTGTACTTTATTTTATTTTTCAAAGCTCAGCAAACAATAAACATATGCAGTAATCCTTTTCTAGGTTTGGAGCTTTATTTTTGTCTGAATAACGCCGATTTGGATATTCGGGGGGATAGGGGGAGGGGGGTGGGGATGAGCAACGCTTCCGTTGACGCTTCACACGGTGTCACGGACGCTGTGCGGCTTGGCTGTGCTTGAACGAACCAGCAGGGCTAGCGAGGGGCGTGAATGCCTACGTTAGTTGTAGGAGATCACAGGCCATCACTGCCATGGGACTCAAAGCCCACTTGGGCTGTGTTTTTTTCACGTGCGAAAATAGTGGTGTAGACTCGTTGACTCTTTGGGACATCATGCACGTCTGGGAAGTTTACCACAGGCACAGCAACACATACATGCATGTATTTCAACTGCAGAGTAGATAGAGTCGGATTTAAATGCAATGTGGCATACTCTCCCTTCTTCCCCTCGCTCCTCGACAAGCTTTTGCTTAGACATGGGTTGTAGTGAAGGGGGGGGTCTTTCTGGCGAGCAGGGCTAGACTCACCCTCAAGGGATGACCGAAACCTTCTTGCTGCTGCGCATATCCGCCGCGAGGCATGCGCGTGGTGGTGTAGTTGGGTCGGCACTGATGGGGTCAG